GAAAAAAAAAGCACTAAATGAGTTTAGCATTGATTTTTTTTCGTTAACTGAGCGCCATAACCTTTCCCTCTCCGCTTCCCCGTCCCCCCACCCCTCTCTTCTTTTTGTGTTTGGACGCAATCCTCAGAAGAGTGGCTCTGGGAGGCAATCATCATAGCGCAAATACAGCTGAGCATATATGAATCGTAAGCAATGAAGTGATGATGATGAAGCGCACACCTGTCAAAAATCAGACCCTTAAATTTCGATTTCAATTCCTCGCAATCTGTCACTGTATCCAGCAAATCCCATAGTGCACAAAACGTTGAGCACCCATTCATGCTGAACATATGGCAATAGATATACGGTGCTGTGGATGTTTCCAGGATTTTTTCGTAAATATCCAATGCGAATTGTCGATAGGATGCGAATGAGCGCACTCGCTGGATGTCAGCTGTGAAACGAACAACTGTGAAACTGTAAAGAAACTATTATCCAGAAGCAAATCGATGCTATCATTTAATCACCCAACAGGAAAAGAGGCAAAAAAATACCTCTCACCCTCTTTTTCCCTATTTCCTTCGAGTTTTTGACAGAACCTGGCAACATAACTAAATAACTGACGGAACCACAATCTTGAACCTTAACCTTTTTTTGCCCTGAATACGGCTTACGTGCAAATAATTTAAGACGCGTTAAAAATCCGAGCGGAAGCCGGAAGGAGTAATCAACACTGTAAAGAATGTATGAGCTCAGCCGATCAAAAAGTTAAAAACTCCCCCCTGTCCAGTCTCAGTGAGAAACGAAGGCATTCGGAAATAAATCCAAATAACAGCAAATTACAGTTCGGCCTATCAATGATCGCAAAAAATCTTCTGTCAATTACCCCACTTCGGCCGCCTCACTTAGACCGTCCACTTCTGATTCAGCCTTGCAATGGCCCTTACGTATCATGCCAATAGCAACCACACGCCGGTAAGGTTGTCAATTACTGCCTCTTTCGAGGATTGCTTATAAGGAAGCTGATGGCGGGTTTGACTCCCTGGAATGTGTCAGCACCAGTTTGCCATCGAAACGAATGAGCGAATCGTAAAGGGACTGATTCCCCTACCGGTGGAGTCAACCCAGCTAAATGTAATAAGATATAAGTAATGACTTGTGCGACGATTAACAAATTAAAACCAAAAGATCACTGCAAGGGAGTGAAGATGAGAAGCTCGATTACCTATCGGTTAATATTTCGTAGAAAGCTCTGTTCACCACACAGGACAGATAATTTACCTTACTGAGTGTAGAAGACTGAAAGCCACGTAGCCCACGTTTAGCCAAGTGAAAGTGAAAATAACTTCCACGCTCCTCCCATGTCTCACGTACGTCTTACTTATGAACACGTGACATTTGACGCAACTCCGTAACCGAAGCAGCTGGAACGCTGAAATCTTCTAAGTGCGGTCTAGGGCTGTGCTTGGGCAAGCGCATATGAAAATAGCACTCACGCTTCTCCTTACTTACGAACACGTGAAATTTGACGTAACTCCGCAACCAGAGCAGCGAGAATGCTGAAACTGGTTAAGCTCAACTGCTTACTAGGTCACACTTTGCAAACAGTCACGGTCCATATTTTGCAAAGACCTATGTAACCCATGATGCGAATTCGGCCAAAACTACCATGAAAAAATTGCCTACTCCTTAACCTGACCTAGCCATTAGAATTGACTTACTCTTTTTCATAAATTTTAGCATATTTAGTGAGATATCGATCGCTGCAACCGGCCCAACCGAACAGAAATACCAGTGCTGCCTGTGGATTACTGTGTTGTACCATTCTCATCACACCCTCACCAATCATTCCATTGTTATTCTCACTGTCCATCGACGAGCAGTTCTGACCCGTACTGGTGTGTACCCTGAAAAAAAAAATGGTGCTTGACGATAATCACAGTTTGTCACTTGGCACATTTTTGCTGTACATGCTAAAAACAGTCAAAATTTGTGACGCTTTTAGTTTTTTCTGACAGTAAAACACAGTTGCCCGGCCGGAAAAATCTGTGATATTTGACGAAAAGAAAAAATCAGACAGCTAAAAAAAACAGACAACTGGCGCAGCGGCTGGGAAAAGCCAAAGAACAAAGCACAGATTGCACTGTTATCAAATTCGCTCTGGTGATAAGCAGCAAAAAAAAAAGGATGAAGAACTCGCCAAATAAAATTGGCCCAGAGAGATACAACGGCAGCAGCACTAACAACACAGTCACAGTGATAGAGAAGTTTAAGTGTTGTAGAAATTTTAAGGATACAAACGGCAAAAATATTCCTGGCAAAGAGACTGGAAGAGAACAGAGGCCTGAAATCTTCTACGTGTCAACATATGCAGTTTGCCATGGCGCTGCTGGCCCATCACCGTGGAGAGGAACACAATCGAATTTTGATAATCAATGAAAACACTGGAAGTACCATTTAGATCTCCCAAATAAGACAGTGCAGTTAACATTTACTGGACAGAGCACAACACCAAGCAAGAGAATGCTTCTCAAATACACTTTAAGGTAATTTAAAAAAATTCGCTCGGCCGCGCAATATGCACTCATAACACCCATTTCTGGGTTCAGATTTTAACTGCGAAAGCCGTGGTCTGAGTTTCATGTCGAGGTAAGGTCCTAGTTGTTGTGTCCGAGATTGCCAACACTCCCCTCCATCATCAAGATTTATAAAAAATTCATACGGGCGCCATCCCTATGAATTCTATCCTTGTTTC